GAGGACGAGGTACAGGTAGAGCTCCAAAATGATGACTTCCCTAGGTTGTACCGAGCGAGGCAATCCCTGATCGTAAGAGAAGAGGTTGTCTGGCATAGAAGACCCGAAGGAAAGAATCTATGGTTGGAGGTACCAGCGTTACCTCCAAACTTGCAGGAGGCCTTGATTAGAGCCTGCCACAACAAGTTTGGGCACCAGGGGCGAGATCGTAATCTGTCGCTGGTGCAGGAGCGAGGTTTCTGGCCAGGCTTGGGAGAAATGGAGCGGGACTACATAGCCAGCTGCGAAAGGTGTGGCGTAGCAAAAGGTGAAGTGCTAAAACCCCAGCTGCATTTAGGGATGATTGAAGCAACCAAACCATTAGAGATGCTGGCCGCAGATTTCACCTTGCTGGATAAGCGGCAAGGAATGGAGAATGTCATAATAATGATTGACATATACAGTCGTTACACTTGGGCCTTTCCCACCAAAGACCAGAAAGCTTCTACGATTGCAAAGATCCTGGTGAATCAAATCTTCCTGGCAGTGGGTACCCCTGAGCGATTGCTGACCGTTCAGGGCAGAAATTTTGGCAGTGCATTGGTCCGACAAATTTGTGCCACTTTTGGGGTGAAGAAAATCAGGACGTCGGTATACCACCCGCAGGGAAATGGTATGGTGGAACGGTTCAATAGAACCCTGCACGGTCTGCTAGCCACCTTAGAGGAGGAGGAAAAGAATAAGTGGCCCGAGCATCTGCAGGCAGTGGTGTCACAATAAAACGCGACTCCGCACGCCACGACGAGGTTTTCCCCATTCTTGTTGTTTTACAGGAGAGAACCAAACCTGCCGTTTGACCTTAGGCCGGAGGTAGACCCAGAGCCGGTAGATTGGGTGATAGTGATCAAAGACTGGCAAAGGAGGTTGCAAGGGCGTGGAGATCAATGTGCGGAGATACAAGGAAATAAACTGAAGGAAACGAGAGGAGAAAGCCCACGAGAGTAGTTGGAAGTAGGCCAGGAGGTTTTGTTGAGGAACAATGCAAAAATAGGCCGATGTGAGCTCCAAAACCATTGGTTTGACACGAGATGGCACATTGTCGAGGTCCTAAATCCTAGGCCGGGCTTATACCGCATTGAGCCCAGTGGGGAAGAAGATCTGGCCGCGAGAGTGGAAAACTGGAGCAACTTGAAGGCTGCTCCACCCCTAAGGCACCCGGGAGATCCGGTGATGGATGAATCTGAAGATGAAGACAAGGGGCCCCCACGACAGTCGGGCATGATGACGAGAAGTAGACAGGCGGCCAAGGATGAAGCTAGCAAGCATAGCAGGGACTAGGAGTAAGATAATTGGAGGAGTCGGGAGTAGGGCAGAGAGAATTGGAGAGATAGCTAGGTCAGAAATGTGCGTTAAGTTGTGGTTGCTGTCATGAGCGGGATTGAGTGTACTGTTGTAATGGCCAGGGACTCACTAATATGGACTGGTGCATTGTCAGAGGGTTAGTCTACCGGCATGAGGTTCGGAGGCGTGGATTGAGTCGATCGTTGTAGTGGCCGGAAACACACACGTGAGAGCGTTCGATTTGGACTGAGTATTATTTTTTGACACTGGTTCCTCTAAGCTCAAGGATCAGGCAAAATGTGGTTGTTTTGGGTTGGTATTTATTTTGGCATTGGTTCTCTAGTTCTAGGGCCAGGCAAAAGGGGAGCGTGTTTGTTTTGAATTGGATTATTTTTTTGCCAAGTTCTCTAGTTCAAGGACTAGGCAGAAGCGGAGGTTGCTGGCTTGCAAGTTGGAATCATGCACATTTGAAGGTGGCTCTAAGTTGTTCTCTCAGCACATGAGGACAGTACCGTTTTTTTTTTTTGGGGGGTCGAGTGTCAGCGATAGAGAGAGAGGAAGCCGGAAGTTGGAGGACGGAAATGCTGTTTTAAGCATGTGGTAGGTGTGAGATGCAGTTAGTAGAAGAAGTCTCCTCAAGGGGGGTCTTATCCATACTTTTCTCAGCACCTGAGGACAGTGCTGTCATTTTTTAGGGGGGTCGATTGTAATATTCAGAAATTTCGGTGTGATATTTAGAGATGTTAGTATGTAAATAACCAATATGCCGATACGCTGAGTCATCCTCAGCCACATGACAGGTTGGCCAAGCGCCAGCAACGCCTCCCACCAAAGCGGACGGAGACATTTGGAATTAGGCCTACGTAATATTAAATGTAATTTACTGAATAAATATGGACGCGAATCATGAAATTAAATTACATTTATTAAATTTAAAATTATTATAGATCTTTTCTCAGTCTAAATATGTTACGTGTGTTCCAACGAAGCTATTAGTTATGAGAAAA